GGCATTGCATAGAAGGTGCCAGGTAGGACACTCTGAGGGTTATCTAGTGCTTCAAAATTGTCAGACGATTCACCTTGTACTAAATCCTTTGGGGAAGGCATGACTGACGATGCGGGAGCACGGTTGTGTGCTACAAATAGGTTCGGGTCGGAGTGGGTCAGCTTGGAAATGTTGCGTGGGCAGTGCTTACTCTGTGGTGCGAAGAGTTCTTTAATTGGTGTTAATTGTGTGTTCAGAAAGGCGCGGTTAAAACTGTCAATCACTTCTTGGTGCACTGTGTGTTCCTTTGTAGGTCTCAACTGCCTACTAGTTTTCCTAGATGATCCCCTTGCGGTGGGCTCCAATTGTGTGTGAGGAATGATAGCTAGATGAGAAGGGGTGAAAGGAAAAGAAAGGGTGAAGTGGGGTAAAACTCAAATAGACCTCTGGGCGCAAGTATATAATTCGGCCCAAGGGGATTGCTACTAAGAATGATTGCTCTATATATAAAAATGAGGGAAGTCACTGAAACTAATAAGGGTGGTTGAGAATGGATGGAACACGAGGGCTAGTGCAATGCAATGTGAGCATGAGCAAGCTACCATTGACGCGGCACAAAGTGAGGTTGAGCGACTGAAGATACATTGATGCATGGTAATGTGCGGCCATGCAGAATAGGCATGCAGGCACCGCAAAGCATTTAGGCGAAGCAGTGGGACAGTGGATTCATAAGTAGCACAAAGGCTGTTGAAACAAGGAATTGATATGATAATGCAGCCGTTAGATAGACACATGCGGTGGTTGATGCAAGGTTTAGATATCAAGTTCAGATGTTTAATGCGTGCAAGCGAAGGATAGATTCAATGTGGGAGGTAAGAAGATACATGAAAATTCATAAGTACAAGTATATATGAGAGCATGCTGAAGCACTATTCAGAGCCGAGTAGGTAGTGGTAATAGGTAATAAGGGTCCATGACAAAAGTAATGGAGATATAAATGATATAGCATTGGAAATATGGTCAGTCTAACACAAATCGAGTAAGGTACATACCAATAGACAAGTGGAGGACATGGATAGGATGGGAGGAGGACACACGACAGAGCCAAAGAAAAGCCGGTGCATTCTGATACACACGTGCGAGCCACGGCCATTGGCCAATAGTGGAAAAGATGTGCACCACATTAGCGTTAGCGCGCGCAATGCGAGGACCTATGGGACACTGCAAAAATAGCCTTTATAAGGCCACAAAAATTCTAAGTCCTACATCGACCTGAACTTGATATGACCAGATATAATTGGTAAAATGATATCAAAAATCCACTGAATTATATAAGATTATATACAAAGATAAAGCTTGATACAAGCACAACAAATAGCTATTGAATGAACAAGGATTACAAAAAAACTGACAATCTGATGTAGATATCAAGTCTTATAATTGATTGCAAGAAAACCAACATTCTGATGTTTGAAATATCAAGTCTTACAATTCATTGAAAGAAAATCAGCATTGTGATGCAGATATGTCAAGTCTTATAATTGTATCAACAAATCTCTATCAATTGATCACCACTACCAACACTTGCATGATATTGCACTAACCATATCATATGACAAATGCTTATGTAAGTCTGAGTTTGAAAGCTTTCACCAACTTTGACACTTGTCTTCTCTTGTTTCACCACACTCACTTCTAGCTCTTCAAGCTAACATCCAAAGTTCCCTCCCTTTTATCCTCTCATGATGATACCTCTGGCCTTCTATGGTGGTTTATCCTCCTCCCTGGTCCTCCCTGGCTCCTCTCTGGTTTCTCCTCAGCCCTCTCCTTCCTGGTCCCTTCCTGGTCCTCCTTGGCCTTTTCTTATGATATCACTCTTTTCCCTTGGATCAGGTAACTGATATCTCCCTCTTTTGTTGTTGTATCATCTCTCTCTACTCTCCTGTATTAGTATTACATGTATATACCTTAATACCAATCAAAATTTGATTTGATTTGTAAAATAATAAAATGAGTATCAAGATTAAACTTTTTAATAATTTCTTGTCAATTTGATTTGAAGTTGTCTGGTATTATAGAACTTTGTCAAGGATGGCAGATATTTGCAATATGTATCATAATTGTGTCTTTGATGGTTTCCCCAGCGTAGTCTAACTATTTAAAGCTTTGTAAAGCTGAGTGCAATTATGATAGATATTATATCAATTTTATGCTAGACAAAGCTTTATAATGCTATGTTATTCTCAGGTCAATTGCCTGATGTAGTTATGTTGTGATTCATGTCAAATGCCCATCATATGATAATCACTTCCTGATGTAACCTGACACTTTAACTAGTGGGCCCAATGTTTCAGCCATATTAGCTGATCTGATATCCTGCACACTCATCCTTCCTGTGTCCTGTCCCATCTTGCTAGCCCAACTAGGTGCATAGTTTCTTATTTTACATGTTACTCATGCTGTAGTCAGCACTATTACATGTTTTCTCATCATCTGCAGTACCTCATGTTGTTTTACATGTATTTCAGATCTGAAATATTCCAATACTACTTTTGCCTATAGGTTTCTGGATTTCTACGTATCTACATAAATATTGGACTCCTCATAGCATATCATCATCCAGGTAGTAGGGAGCCATTTCCCGATGCTTTGTGGTCAAACCTGATAATTTGTAGTTTTTAGGTGACATTGCAACAATTACCACTCCTTCAATCTGAAATACCTGTCAAACATCATTATCCACATACCACTTGCTTTCCTGACATTCATTATATATGTTTCCCACAACCTGCAACCCACTAATCTGCTAACCCAAAACATTGGATTCATGATTATACCCTTGGACATTATTTCCCATGCTCAGACTATCAACACACATCTTATCACTAATATAAAGACTACTTCCAAACAGCTAACCCCTCGGGTCAAACACACTTGTCTTGCAAGTATAGCAGACTAGGCTGTGCAAGACCACAACATTATATTTTGCTGGGTACTTACTTCAAGTAGTGTCTAGCAATTGTTGTATTATTACAACTGGAGCCCACTGTTAGGGGTTCCTTTGGTTTGGTGTTATTTTTGTGATTCTAATTTTTAGGACTTTCTGACAAACCTGCACTTGGGACTCAATGGACCTGACATATTTTTCCACACTATGCACACCTCATGCAATGCCTTGGGTCAGAACTGACACATCAGCTCCCAGATTTAACAGAGATGCATACACAATTTTCACATTCTGCAATCTATAGACTGACTAGGACAAGAGAATCAATTTTTGGTGTAGCACTTGGGTTGGTGCTGGACATGTATTCTGTCAAATTCACATATTACATTCCTCGACACTCTTCTGATCTTCTGAGAATTCTGCACATTCATCCAAGTTGTCTGAAGGTTGTCTGTTCTTTTCCAAGGCCTGTTTGACACTTCCGATCCTCCATATCATATCCTATTGTCATATCCCATATATTCACGCTTCTCTTCTGGACTTTGGACCCTGAGATCTGGTCCAGTCCGATGCATAGATCCGCTTCTGATCTGATATCCGATAAGCTTCCTATTTCATTTCCTGTTCATTTAATATTAAACACAGCCTATTCGGTATTTCCTCTTCCCAGTGTTTAAGTTATACTTATTACCGGTATGATTACTGATCCATTAACCTATGCTTCATTTCTGACTTGCATTTGATAACCTTTGCACATGCTTCATACATAGCCTTGGACCTTTGCTTACTTATCATTTCGTTATCCTCTTAGTATATAAGCCCGTGTATATGTCCTGTAGTACCTCAGTTCGGATATCATCTTAGTTTGTCCTCTTTCTGTCCTCTGGACTTGAGTCTTCAACTCTTGTCAACCTCCGAGACTTCAGATTGATTCCGATAGTCTACGTTTCCGACTCTATCTTCGGATAGTCTATACTCTGTTCGTTTCTAGTCTGGATCCGTCTAGATTAGTCTTATACACATTTCCAATATCCAGAAGTCATCCGGATATATATATGAGACCTGTCTGGACCTTCGGACACGTTATTGTTAGTACTTTGAAATAAGGGACAGTACTTGGGAAAGGGGCACAGTGTATGAGCTGAGGCCGAAGTCCTTCAGATCTGATCCTACAAGAGTATGACCTTAACACCTATCCTTGTCCATTTGACTTTGCTGGTGCATTTTCTCTTGGTTCATCTGTTATTGATTATGTCTTAGGGGCACATATGTTATCAGCCCATTGGAAGTTTGGTTAATATGTATAGATACACACCTTATGTGCTATTACATGCATATCTTGTAGTGACACTGTAAAAGGTTGATTCTGTATAGGCTATATAAAAGATGATACCTTTGGACTCAATGTGTGAGTATGATGTTCATCCCAAGAGACTGCCTAAAGAACTATCTCTTGATATAAAAATGCAAGAGATATCTTGTTAAGATTGAAGATGAGAGAAGAGAAAGATACCTCAAGTACGTTGTAGAGACTGACATCTCTGTGGCCTTGTAGAGGTCTAATTTCCGATGCATGTAGACATGCTAATCATTACCCAAATCATTCCTATCATATCCGACTCAATACAGTGATAAACTGCTCCTTTGGATAGGAAAATAAAGAAACAAGTGTAAAATTAGAAAATCTTCAATATAGAGAAAATGGTCTAGTATCTCTGACAGAATAGGTTTTGATCTGCCTTATACCAAAATTTTACAGCATTTTTAGCCCTGTGTGGTTGGTGGCACTTCACACAGTTGAGCAAGTCATTTTCTCCCATTCCTGACTTGTTTGTACAGCAATGTGATGAACCCTGTTACAACATATCACACACATCACATTTCGCTGTTTGTCCTATTCATCATCATCCTCGCACTCGCTGTCATTGCCAATCGACCCTTCGTGAATGTCAATATACTCTCCTTGATCCTGCCCATCCTCCTCGTTAATATTTCCACCAATTTTCCTTGGATTCTTCAGCTTAGGGCAAGGCTTCTCAATTGGTCCACGAACAGGCTTCTTCCACTGCAGTTTTCATCTCTCTTGCTTTGTAAGCACTTGCTTGGCCTCCCACTCTTTGACAGCAACCTTCCACTGCTTAGTCTTGGCCTTGTTTTGGTTTTTTCTTGCCTCATCCTCTTGCATCCACACCTCCATCTTGTGTGTTCGTGCCTCCAATGCTGCTTTCCTTGTTTCCTTCTCAGCTGCTTTGGCCTGCTGATGCTCCTGGTATTGCAGGACTTGCTCAAAGACCTCGTCACTGGTAAGTAGCCTTGGCATACCATCTCCATTTAACTTAATATTGTCACTGTCCCTACAGCCTTTCTTCTCTTGTGTCTCAAGATGATGATGAACTTTATGAGGAATCATGCAGATGTTTCCTCAAGTTGTGTGAAGATGTTGTGGATGGTTCTACCATCAATTTGAGAAGGATTATTGTTATCATAAGTGTTCTCATCTGCTGATTGATAAGTTATTGATCTGATCTTTGAACAGTGAGAATTAGTACCTGGAGTTGTCTCGTCATTACTACCATCTTCTTCAGCAATTGTACCAGGTTGCATACCACAATTATGAGTTTCTGCCCTTGGTTGCAGGTCTTTAAACAACTGTAAAATGGCTCGAACTGGTGATGCAGGAGTGATTGGGAGGTGTCCCTGTTTGGATGATTCATGAGCAGGAGACAACATTTTGTCTGTGACAACTTTAGGATTGAAAGGCCATACACCGGTTTTTTGGAATGCAGATCTAATTGTTTCTGATGTGAGTGCACAAACATGGGCAGTACCATAGATCACAAGGAAGTTGCTCTTTGTCACTTTCTCTCTGTTCTCGCGCTCCCATTTGTCACGTTCTTCTGACTAATACTATTTAAGGACACCAAACACTGCAACATCCAGGCCTTGATAGATGTGGGTACTGTGTGCAGGATAGCAGAGGATGTGAATTCGGTGCTCTCGAGCATACTCCAGGAATGCACGAGTGTAGTGAGAATTATGCCCATCAACAAGAAGTAGGCAAGTATGACCATTAGCTTTGTTGCGTGTCTGCTCATCAAATTGCTTGATCCAGAGTGCACCAATCTCGCCATCAGTCCAGCCCTTCTTTGAATAACCAATACTATAAGAAACAATGTTATATAAGGTACGAGATGACACATGAGTTGGACTCACGATGCTTTGAGTGGATTGTTTTCATTCCACTTTGATTGATATGCTTTTCCTTTGAAGATCACTGCTGGTGCAATTGTACTCCCATCTGCGCCAATTGTGACCAAAACAGTAATGTTTTCACGATTTCCATTTCACTGCTGATATTTAACCTGTGTTCCAGCTCCACCAAGTGCTCGTTCTTGTGAGCTCCCTCCTCCTGGTTGAATTCCAGTCTCATCAACACCCCAAATACACTCTGGTGCCATAGGTTTGTTGTCATCTCCACTCTCCAGTACATCCTTCAACATTTTGAACCATGCCTTGTTAGTTGTTGGGTTCACAGCACAGCCACAAGCACCATCAAGTGAATGTGCTCAGTAAGCTCATAGATGGTCAGAGTGCTTCTCAACGAAATGCTGAGTCCAGTTTTTTCCCACTCCAGACTCCAGGAATGAATCTCCAAGTCGAGCTTGACATACTTCATCAACATGCTCCTTGAGACGCTTGTGGCTAAGGGGAAAGCCTCATCTAGCCATTTCCACAACATATTCAAGAACTTTGTCTGTTTCTGCAAGTGTGAGCCAACTTTTCATCAAGCTATTGAATTCACTAAGCCAAACTCCTCCCTTGGCAAGATTAGCCAAAGTATTATGATTTAAACTGATAACTCGTCCCGTCTCCTTGAGGTACTCCTTCTGAACATCCATGCACACTTTACAACAGCCTTGTTTCTTCTCTGAGCTTGATTTTGCAAGTTCAGCTTGGTACTTAGCCACAGCATGAGCCATAACTTTATCTTTCTCCTCATGTGTAACCTGTGCCTTCTTCGTCGATGATTTTGGCCTCCCAACCATGTTGGAAGATATGTTTGAAGATATATTGAATACTGGCAGTGAAAAGGAGATGTTGAGTGAAACTGAGTGAAACTGAGGACACCTCGTGTCCATGCTTAGTCTGGCTGACAAAATTGGACCATCACTCATGGATCACAACATGTTGCACCAATGAAACTTTAACTAAAATCATCTCCACTACTTCTAATTGTTTGCAGATAAATTGGAAGGGGTGAAACTATATGCAATGGTGAGGTTTTGATGCTCAAGGAATTCAAACATATTGCTCCAGAGTGATATTTTGCCGATTCTGATGATTTTCTAAATTCAAGTACTGTATTTTTTGGTACTATCAAATAGCAGGATATATTCTGAACATGATGATACAAGATTTACCAGGAGTTGATGAGGAACTCATCAAGGAAATTGAATTGTACAATAGAGTGGTCCTGTATAAAGGACCATGGGATTACTGTATGTACCAAACCCAAAAATCATCAGACATCGGACATCGGATTATTGGACATTGCATCAGGTTCACATTGGACATTGGACATTGCATTGGGTTTCACATCGGACTATCGGATATCACGCAGTGTCTTGTTACTTAAGGGTCTTATATGAAAGTTGTGTATAATGACAACACAATTATACATGGTGAAGACTTCTTGCCAGTCCTTAAGTCCATGGTCTCCGACTTTTCTACTTCATGGGAGGTAACATGGTGAGTTCTTGGGAGGATTTAGTTTGTTGTCCTCTTCTTGTGTAGTCTTATACAAAGTGTTGTGGAAAGTTCTGTGTTCTGGATAAATTTGTTAGGTTTGTTTCAGCCTAGTAGGTCGTGTTTCAACCTATGAAAGTCTGTTTCAACTTTGTCATCCTTAGATATGTGTCTCACTTTCTGTTGAAAGAGAGAGTCTTATGTATACACGTAAAGCTCAGAATGAGAGCTGTTCAATGGTTATATACATAGTCAACCCCTGTGAGGTAGTATATAACCTAGAGTGGAATAACAATAACAAAAGTTATATAGTCAACCCCTGTAAGGTAGTATATAACTTTAGAGTAGATAATGATATCTTAGATTACCTCAAGGCACTTATATTAGCCTGCACTTTAAGTCTTAGTGGTCTTACACAGTTTGAGATAAGAGTCAAGTGGGAGGATTGTATTTCATGGGTGAAAATGGGGTCCTTTTATACCTTTTGGGAACCCCCTTACTAAGCATGATTAATCAGATGGATTGGTAAGAATGTGGCTTACAAACCAGGTGATGAATCAGCTTATTACTAAGTACATTACAAATACAGTGTAATCTTACAAAGAAATTACAAACCATGACAAACCATGAGTGAACATGTTGAGTCATGTTAAATGTTGTTACAAAGCATGACCAATCATGACTAAACATGTTGAGTCAGCTTAAATAATGTTACAAACCAGAATATTTTTCAGTCACATGATGTGATGACAAATAAAATCTGGTGGCTGAAAGAAGCCAAATAAAAATAAACAGTCAGAAATAAATAGAGATACAAAACTTGGTGGCTGAAAGAAGCCAAATAACAATAAACAATGAGAAATAAACAGAAGGTCACATGCTTGATACAAATATAAGTTAAAAATAAGTCTGAAAAGTGAGAAATAAAATACAAGACAATGAATCAAAGGAAAAATGGAGAAGTAACTCAGTGACAGAGGGCTAGACAGTCTCTCATATCTTCCTTATCACTCTCTATATATATCTGACATGGTATGAATCACATACCATGCATGACAGCGGACTCGTCCTACCTATGTCCAGTCTCATTGTGCTAGCCTCACTAGGTGCGTAGTTGCTTATTTTCACATTCCTAATGTTTTGGACCGCATTATTACATGTATTCTCATGGTCCGCAGTACATCATGTCTTATTACATAGGACATCGGATCCGAAATATTGTGCTACTACTTTCGCCTATAGGGTTCTGGATTTCTACGTATCTACATAAATATTGGACTCCCCATAGCTTCATCATCCAGGTAGAGGAGAGTCATTCTCTGACGCTTAGGGGTCAAAACCCAATATTTTGTAGTTCTTAGTTGATATTGCGAATATCATCGTTCCTTCACCATCTGTATCCTTCATCATTATTATTGCGCAGAATGCTCACTTTTCCAACACTCACTATCACATCACTATTAGTTTCCGATAACCCGAAACCCAAAAACATCGAACCTGACGCTTTTGCATCAGACATCGTAATTATACCTTCGGACATTGTTTCCTGTGCTCAGACTATTGACCCCACATCACTCACTGACCCCCAAAACTATTCCCAGACTGCAGACCCCTGGGTTGAATGCACTTGTCTCACCAAGTATAGCAGACTAGGCAGTGCAAGACCACAACATAAAGATATCAGTTTGGAGCCATCTTTGTATAGCCCCACTCTGTGTTGTATTCCTACAATGTTCAGAGTGTTACGAACTAGGATAGTTCTTAACAACAAAGGCTCGACAGAGCGTTCACGTTGTTGAGGTCTTGTATAGCTCTTCAGATAAGAAGAGGTTCGTGGACTTTAGTCAAAGGAGTGCTTTGACAAAGAGTTCGGTTCAGACGTCTTAAGATTGGTGGTCTTAAGTGAAGGAAGTTTTCTGGGTAAAACCTAGTAAGATTGAAGTGACGTTTCTAAGTAAAGTACACGTGCTTAAATAGGAAACTATATGCGCACGGACCAAGGCTACGGTGAGATAATAGTACAAAGGTCGAATACGGAAGTAAGACCAAGAAAGGAAAGCTAAGCTGCTAAGAATGTAAGGCATAATGGCAGATACGTGAGAAGTAAAGAAAGTAGAGCGATTGTAACATTACCCCCTTACTAGGGTTGAAGCCACCGGATTCAATCATCCTGGTTAGCGTAGTAGATAGGATCGTCCGAGTAATCGAGGGCATCTGGACCTTCGTCTGGTCCGGCTTTCATGCGTTCTAACTCATAGAGCGCTTCTTCCTCCCTACATTGGGTGGCATATGCATCATCCAAATCATTCTCCCAGAGTGCAAGGGTTCAGTAGAATCCATCGTCCTTCCAGGTTAAGGAAGTGGGGGATTCCCCAGTGTAGTGCGGGCAGTAGAGCGAAAGATGGCCTGGAGATAATTCTCGACAGACGCGGCAGTAGTATTCGGGACAATGAACTTGCCTATGCCCGAGCGTCTTGCAGTATCTGCAAACGCGATTCTCATCGGGGTTAGAGGAGGTCGCTCGTAAGGGCGATGGACCCGGTTTAGGGCTAAGTGCTTCATCGGCGCTGGTGGCGCGTTTCTTCCCTTTATCAGTACGGGAACGCTGGCCTCGTACTCTCTTTCTGGATGGGGCGGTTCGTCGTATAGGAT